GTGCATGCCCCGCCCCCTGTGGGCGAAGCTTCGCACAGGTCATGTGTGCTCTGTAAATCTTGTCCCATGCCCTACCCCTTCCAACAATTACCCGACCTCTCCGAATTGCTCTTCAGGTCGCAGAAATGGTTCTTCAAGGTGATTTCGAAGTGTCATCAAAATTTTGGGAGACTTAGGATTGAATTTTTTTTGATGGATTTCACTTTGTTCTGATGGCTTCGTTATATTTGAACAGTTCAAGGTCAAATACTACGGTTACGTTGTAAGAAAACTGGCCAGGAGTTGATCTACGCGAATACTCATTTGCTATTCAATTCGGCACGAGGTGACATCAAAATTGGTCAACTTGCCATGCTGTTCGCCAATATCAGTGATGTAGGTTATCATGTGCACCTTTTGAAGATTCTCTTTGAATTTCATGTTCACTCTTGCGGTGCTGCTGGGACAGGGGGGGGGGCACAGAAAAGGCAATCACAACGGAAGGCCGTGGCTAAACATAAGTGCAGTTTAGACCTTTCTCTAAGCTGAACCTTAGGTGCCAGTTTTGACTTATCATGAATGGCTTCGGTTTGAGCTGGCACATGTAGAACTTCATACTATATAAAAGGGAACTGTCGCTGTGGAGACTTTGTGCCAAATACGACCCACCGATTCTCCTTACCGTCATACTGACATACCCTACCTCCTGCAGCTCCCTTCCTCCCCCCCCCCCACCCCTCCCCATTCCCACCAGTGACTTTTTCCCTTTTTTCCTGACGAAAAACTGGCGTCGAGCGGTAGGTGCTAGGAGGGAGGGGGGATTCGCACCAGTCAACTCCTGAAATCCACTATCAGAACAGTAGCTGCATAGTCGTTTTGCAGCGCCACCAAAGGAGGAGGGGAAAGCGCGCGTGAAACGGGGAAAACGAAGAAGGGTAAGTACAACAAAAACTTTCCCGTGGCTAGATGCATCTCCCTTCCAAAGCAACAAGCACACTTAATCTCTCCTCCTTCGGGAATTTCCACGATGTGGACCGCACGCGTGAAGCAGGAAAAATCAGCTATCAAAGAAAATTTTGTTAGGCTAATTACACCTCCCTCCCCCCCCCCGGTCCGGTGACCAAATGCAACCCTTGGAGTTTCGCCAGCCTACTGAGCCAGTTCTCTAGATCGTGCTTGGTAGTGGATCCTTCGGCGCAGTGGGCGACCGGGGGGGATACATTTTGCACTTTCGCTGCTTCATTAGTTCCGATTTACAAGTCTCACTTGGTGAAACCTGTGATCTTTTGCGAAGCTGGAGTAAACTGCGTCGAGCCACCACCCACGACAAAATCTGACAACTTCCTAAGCCTCATATAAAGGTAGCGTCCTAGCTCGAGGCACTGATGGAAAGTAGCGAAAAGCAAAATACCCTCCCCCCCCTCTGTCCCTAAACTGCCCCGGTCCTTCATTCAAATGTGATCAACGTTTTCTCCTTAGGAGTTGACAAGGTCCTCGTGTCCAGTGATCGTCAATGGCGACTTCAATATTGAGCCGCTATCTTATGTTTATACGTATATTAGCGAATCAAGGTGAACTTCGAGGATTTTATGGCAAGACTCCCTCTTGCTTTCATTTTTTTTCCATTGTGATTTTTTCACTCCAGAAGTTCCTATTTCAGCCTCTATTTGCGTGGTTTACCTCGTAATGAGTTATCTGGGCAAGGCCAGCGAGGAGGACCGTGCGTTCAAGCTGGTAATATTTTACCACCTGCTGCAAGAATCGCTCGAGACAGTATGTTCGTTGATGAGAAAGGTGAATGTTTCCATTTCACAAGAATGCTGAGTTATGGGCAAAGTCCAGACCCCACAATTCAGCATTGTTTGATAACTTTAAGCGCGAACTGTGTCATTAACTCAGTAGAACATTCTGTTGACTTTTGGTGCCGTGCTGAAAGACACAGCCCGCTCTTGCTCTGTGGGTGTCTGTATTCCCTATCCATTCGTCCGTTCCGCAGTCTGAGAGGTTCTCTGATTCTTTTCGGGGACCAGCGGTAGCGGTGGAGATTGTGATTGTCATAACCCAGTGTAAGCCACTCGTAGAGACTGCCTTACCCCGCCCTCTACGGGGATGCGATATGACAACCCTCCTATAATCGCCAACCCAGGTGTAGGCGTTTTGTTCATTCTTTGTTGGAAACACCCTGTGATCTCCCGTCCCTCCAGTCCATCTACCGGTTCTCTTATCCTTTTTCTCTGGGCACTCGTCCGCGCAGCAGCATTTTACTGCTTGGGACTGTCGCCAAATGTTGGACCTTGTGTTTTCTTCCCTCCCTTTCTCAGTGACAAACCACTCGTTGTCTAGGAATTCAAATTACGCCCGAAATCGACGAGTTTTCAAAGAGGAATGTGTCTTTCAGTCTGCGTTTCCACTTTGCTCCTTTCAAAGCGCAATTACTGCATGGTACTTAGCATTCAATGAAGTAGTGGATATTCAGAATCGATGGTTCCCTGAGCTTCATTGTGTTTAATCTTGATGTAGTGAGTAGAATGGCGAAGCTCTTCTCTTCATTGAATCTTTATTATATGACAACGTTTCGGGCATAAGCCCTTCTTCAGGTCACTCGATCTTAAATCAAACAGCTACCCTTACAACGTTACAGCATCAATAAAGTAAACT